ATAGTACACCAAAGGCAAATAATTGCTTACTCCTTTCTGGAGAAGGAGAAAAATAGAAAGCTGGCAAATATTTGGGTTGACACAAAAAATTAAATCACATACTATCTGGAGTATAGTTATCTGATAACCTCTAATATAGGTCCTATATGCCAAAAGTCAAGGAAGCTACCAGTGATGACTGAAGTCATGTCAAATGTATTTGGAATCCAACTTTAAGTAGCTTCCACTGGCCAAATATGGTAACTTGAAAATTAGTGGTAATGGAATAAAACATATCCAAAGATGTTACAATCCATGAGCTGGTATCACAAAAAAAAAACAAAAAACAAAACCTATTTCTTAAAGTTTCACTGGTCAACTCAGGAGGGAATGGTATATGATAGGCAAAATAATGACCTCCTAAACATATCCATGTCCTAGTCCCCAACACCTGTAAATGTGTTAAAACACAAGGCAAGGGCCGGAGATTTAGCTCGGTTCCACCACCTGCCTTGCAAGTGCAAGGATCAGAGTTCGATCCCCGATACCAAAAAAAAAAAACACAAGGCAAAGGGGATCTGTGATAGCAGATGAAATTAAGACTGTTAATAAAAATTGATCTTCAAACAGCAAAAAAATCTTGGATTATCTGGAGAGCCCCAATACAATTCCAACGGTCCTTAAATGGAGAAGAGGGAAGCAGCAGAGTCACAGCCAAAGAGCAATTTGAAGATGCTATGCTGCCGCTTTGAAGATGGAAGAGAAGGGCCATAACTCAACAAAGGCAGGTGCTGTATCAAAGCTGGCAAAAGTATGGAAACAACTCCCCTGGGGCTTCCATGAGGAAGGCAGACCTGCTGACACTTTGATTTAAGCCCAGTGAGATCTACTTTGGACTCTGATTTCCAGAAGTACAAGATAACAAATTAGTGTTGTATGGCAATGGAACAGACCTGTGATTGTTAAGGTGGGCTAGGAAAATAGTAAAGGATCTTATTATTAGTAAAACTAGTAAATAATAAGAAAAGAATCAAGTATTTATCTCACCTTTCCAGTATAATTTTAGTAAACCAAATGATAGAGCAAAAAGTTTTCTTTATAGAAATTTTGAAGCCTCTAATAAATTCATGACGAGCATTCAAATGGCTATTACAGCCTCTGAGTAAAAAACTGATAGGAACTTCACAATACCTAAACTCACTGATTAGTTTTCTTAATGCAATGCACCACCGATGAAATAGGTTTCAAAAAAAAAAAAAAGGAAGCTTAAATCTAATTGAGCCTCTGCATCCATCTAAATATTACAAAAAATAAAAGGGACAGAGAAACTGGTTAAACAAAATCAACATGATTAAATCCATCAAACTTAGAATGTTAGAAATTACACAGGGTAACGGTGAAACTCTACAACAAGTAAATTTAAAGAAAAAAGTAGAGGGGAACCTATAGCTCAAAACAGACCTAAGAGACATAGCAAACAAGTACAATATGTAACCCTTAGCAATTAAAAAATATTATCTAGAGAATAGTCAGGAATCAGAAATTAAACAAAGTCTTATATGTGGTTAATATAGCAAACTTGAAATCCATGGATATACTCATGAAAACAAGTGTCATGTCCTTCACATAGTTATTTACTTTCATTCTATGCAAAATTTTATCACACTGGGTAATCTGGCTTTCCAGAGCACTTTAAAAGAAAGCATCTGAAGATAAAGTTGGGAGCTTTTAGGAAAAGGTGCTTTGACAATAGGGACTCCTAAACTAAGAACAAGGGAAAGGGGCTGTGAAATCTATTCAAGCCACACACAAAAACAAACAAACAAACAAACAACCTCAAAATGCCTAGCAGTTCTAAAGACTTAATGAAAGAAGTCTTGCAAATTTAAAAGTGAACTAAAATATTCTATGTAACAAAGATTGCCTTCAAGCATACCTCCTGCTCCTCCACCTTTCTAACAGAATGACATTTTTAGTTGGGTATGTTGCCATCTGGAATAAAAACTAAATGTCTAAATCTCCCATACAAATGGTCATATGCTTGAAGTCTGGCCAATGAGAGGCAGACAGAAATTACTAGGATGGTCTTCGAGAAGACTCCTGAAAGTTGGCTAACAGCTTAGAAGCATCCCCTTTTAGTCTCTCTCTCCTGTTTCTAGCCTGAACAAAATCAAATGAGGCTCATATCAGAGGAGTCCTTGGAAGACTTGTGGAAGGTTTCGGTGCCTTCTTTGTATGATAGGAGGCAAGTGGTGAATTTTGAGAGGAGCTACGCAATTTTAATTTAAAAAGACTATTCTCATTGTCACATGCCAAAGTCTGAAGGTGCATCAGAGGAAAAAAACTCAAGAGACTATTTATGGGACTGGTGCATCAGTCAGGGGCAGTTAATGGTGGCTTGAATCAAGCAATGTTGAGAAGAAAACAATGTCTAGACAGAGGGCAGAGGATGTAGGGTTTCTGACCTGAGCAACCAAGATGAAGCTGCCATTTACTAAATCAGGAATTGTTAATATAGATCAATTAATACATTTAATCCCTAGTTCTTGAGTACAGATGAGCCAAACATGATACAATTCCCCAATACTAACTAGAAATAAGGGAAATGGTTAATATGAGCAATGGTCTTCCAAGTACAACTCAACTGGTTTATATTTACCTTTTTCTGTTATTTTTTTATTCTCTGTTAACAAAGGGAATCAGGAAGTTCTATTCACAGAAAACATAGATTGTCTTCATTTTAAAAGATCACTCACAAACACCAGGCCATAAAACTATATGGCTTTTCCTTTTATCTGCTATTAAGAGAAGTATTAGCTCCAATAATTTGAAGCAAACATTAAAGTTACCACATAAACTTTACCTGGTTTTGCAGGGGCTTTACACCACAGTGCCTGATGAGTATGAAATGTTCGTAAAAAATCCTTCTTCCCAGGCAGAACCTTACGGGACCCCAAATTGCTAAGTAAAGGACAGGAACAGCCAGTCACCACTGTTTTCAGCAGGTTTGCCATATCGATGTCAGCTGCCAACTTTCTGAATCCCCAGTTTCCTTATAGGCAAATCACTAAGGGGAGAGAAAAGAAATGGTTTATATGCCAAGAAAAAAAAATACTTTGTCTTTTGAACATTAAGTAGTGTCTAAATCAATAATCTAAACAGCTTGGAATATAACAATTATATGTAGACATCTACAAAGAATTTATTTTTCTAGTCCTTTACTTAGAGAAGATACTCCAAAGTTTGTTTCCAATTGAAGTACATAGAACTTGGAGTTCTAAACTCACTACTCAATTTTAAGCCTAAGTCACATACAAGTCTATTTGATCCTTATGTAGCTAGAGAGTTCACACACACACACATACACACACGCACACACACACACCCCTCTAGAATTCGTATTTTAAATGAAAAATACCTTCTTAGTCAAAGCTGCAAAACAAAATTACATACAAAGTTACCTTTGAATTTCCCTTAAATTATCTAACATACCACATAACACAAATGTGACTTACAAAGGTGACATCCTATCCAGCGCAGCAGGATGCTCAGCCAGTGAGATCCCCTGAACTGAGGCTGCCTGAGTGAACACAAGATTCCTGTTTGCCAGGTGTATGTCTCAAGAACATTAAACATGCATGGGCTATAGTGCCAAGAAAAAAAGAAAAATCCAATGACAGCTTTACCACATAAACTTGTGTTTGCAGATATGCGTTTTTGTCAGTTGTTCTCACAAATGGCCACTTTTTCCCAACTCTAACAGGACTTGATGAAGTTCACTAGCCTTTGCTGTTATGGAGGCACCTTCATTTCCCCTCTGAGGCAGATCCCCAGGGATGCATGGAGGGTATTCCCACCACTCTCACAATTCCCAGTGTTCCTCTATCTTTTATTTTATTCTTCAAAATGGAAAGAAGCAGAGGACCTAGAACCTTTATCAGTCAAACTTCACTACCATCACCAACCATGTCTGTAGGTTACATCAACTAGGTAGGTGCCCACCATGGACTTAGCACCAGATCCCGGAAAACTCCATAAACATTTTTCCAGGTTTCAGAGGAAGAGGGCTTTAGCTCATTTTTTTTAATTTCAGAGCTGCTGTCACAACTCTCTGAAGAAACCTCTTTAAAATAGCAAAAAGGAACACTGGTAATAGAAATTCTCAATCCAGGCAGTGCTCAAAATGCCCTTTAATTAAACAAATTGTACTATGGACAGAGTCTCAGGGACACTGCCATTACAAACACTTGTAAAATCAAGCTGGAATAGGCCATACACTTGGAGATAAGAAAAATCAACAAGTACTAACACTATGAAGTAATATAAGTTCCTTAACGGATCAAAGAAGGTGATTGTGTCCTTTTATGTGTCTCAGAAAAGGAAATGAAAGATATTCAATATAGAGAGAATAAAAGCAAAATGGGTTCAGATCTGCAGGTAAAATGTGTATGGATAATCCTTTGAATTTGAATGCATGGTTTTCCATTTGCAGAGTCATGCCACATGTCATTTCACTTCAGTCCCAAAGCTTTCCCAAATCCCATAAATATCCTCACATGTACTATTCACAGCTGAGAAGAAAAGCAAATGAATCCAAAATTTAGCTATACATACAAACTTTCGTTGAATCTATGCCAAAAAGAGAGGGAGATACAAAGATATGTAAAAGATAATTATTGTCTTGAGGGAGATTTTTTTCCTACCAATACTAAATGACCTGCTCCAATCCCAAACTCCTGATTTACCCAACTTTCTCTTTCAGGATCATTCCAGCCCCACCACCACCACCACCAAAATTACCATTTTCATAGGACTGACAAAGCTTTTCCAGACCTCATCAGCAAATGAACAAAGCTGTCTTAACACAGCCTGTTTTGTCCAAACTGGCCACTCTGGGTGTTTGACTTGAACCTCTCGAAGCTTTCTTTTGGCCCTTCATTATACAAGGACCACAGGACAGGCTTCTAGGGCCCTTTTAAGCTCTAGAAATGTTAAGACTCAATGAGATTTTGCAATGCTGAAGTCCTATTTCATGGAGTGGACCCTGGGGAATTTGTCTGGCCTACTGGGAAAATAGTTTGATAATAATATGAGCAGATTGCTGGCAGGGGCATAAGACATCAATAGGGCCAAGACCTTTACAAGCCAATTTCTTTAATTAAAAAAAAAAAAAAAAGGCCACTTCAATCATGTTGTAAACGGGGCAGATCAGAAACTAGTTTACTGATGACAGCACTCTATATCACTAAGCCTAAAATAAATACAAATGACTGAAAGATATTCAGAGGCTAGCTGAACTATGACATAATTAGCCAGTACACGTTTACTCCAAATATATTAAGTCCATATTGCCTTAAAGCCAGCTTCCCCTATCTTCACTTTAAAACTCTCTGCTGTTTTATCATCCGTGAGCTTTCAAGGCTTTGAAGCAATAAAAGGAAAATTTTATAACTCAAAGTTGGAAAGGAAAAATCCTTTTTAGTGTACCATTCTTTTGGGCTACTTAAGGTAAGTTATTAGTATAACTATCTCCCCTAGTAGCTAGTACAAAGGGCAAACACCCAACCTAGCAAAGGACATAAGGGAAAAGAAGATGAACTCTGGTTTGGAAACCCCTTCAACTTAGCTATATGACCTTGACAAGATACTTGAATTCTCTGCACCTGATTTTCTCATCTTCAAAATAACAATAACCATAGCACCTACTTTATAGGGTGGTTGTAAGGATAAAAAACCAAAATCCCCTTCTCCTAAGGCTACTGAGAGAATTAAAAGAACATAGTATCTTGATTAGTTGTTACATTCACTTTAGTATTACCTCTGGCCCAATGCTTTACACAAAACTGAGGAAGTCAGTAAGTTTTGGTTTTGTTTTATTGTGTTTTGTTTTTTTACTGAAGGACTAAATAAATAGGCATAGATATCCTGAAGCCTGGGTATCTATTACACACTTTCTCCAAGGAGTTTCTGGAAATTTCCTCTGAAAATGAAATGTCTGTGTAACCTTGTGGAAAACTGATCGTAACAGTAAAGGTAAGTAGCCCTAGCTGACAAGAAGGTAATCCTAAACTGTTTCTTCAATATTAATAATTTGTTTTAAATTTGAGATTTGAAAATAAAAGGGGTACAATGGAGAAAGGAGCATTTTAAATAAGAGTAAGTAGGCAAGTACAGCCTTACTCTCCCAACAGCCAACAAGATTCCTTCCAAACAGCCTTTTAAGGACTGCCTGCACCACAGGGCGAATAAAGGACACCTGCAGACGTAAACATGGCATGCTTTTAAAAGCAACATACCAACAAGGGCACAATACTCTACTCAGGCAAGGTTAGCCTGGCAGGCAGTGTGACCTCGCCCAGAGCCACCGGTGCCAAGGCCACTGTCACCGGCGCCGCCCCTCCCGCTGTAACTTAACTGCCACTCTCTGGCATCTGCATGTACCGCTATTTATAACCTCTCGGGAAGCCCATTGGCCCAGGTTGCATAATAGTCACTGGGCCTCTCGAGTCTGAAGCAGCTCTGCCCAGGCCGCCCTCGGGACTGTCTCTCTGACATCGCCAGTCTGGGCCCTCTCTCGGCCTCGCAGAAGCTTGCACCCATCACCACCAGTCCGCCCTCTGAATGCTCCCTATCCCGGACCCTTCCCAAATTCCCTCAAGGTTCAAGTACAAGGGTCCAGCTGCCAACTCGTTGAGCGCACCGGCCATCGACAGTCCTTTAGGACCACTCTTCACCAGGTGCTTGGAGCCGAAATGCCCTCACACGACCTTCGTTGTCCTCCAGAGCTCCTTAATTGCACCTGCACGGCCCCCGCCTCGTCCCTCACCCTCTGCAGGGATCCAGATCCTGAATCCACCCACCCACTCTCTTCCACGTCAACGCAGCTGGACACAGAATGGGGGCCCTCGGAAACAGTGCTCCTTCCCCTCCCAAGCCTTGGGCTTGCGGGCACCCGCGCACCCAGCTTTTCTCGGCCGCGCCCTTCGCCAGCACAGCCACGCTCACCTGGGCCAAGACGAACGCCGCGCTGGCAGCCCCC